CGCATCAATTTTATGTTGTATGATTGCAGGCAAGAACAAAAAAAAAAAAGCTGAATAAAGTTGAGTTAACCAACAAGATATAAATAAGACAACTTTCTTAATGTTTTTTAAAATAAATTTTTAGAACAAAAATTTCTTATTCAAAAAATTTTTATATTAAAAAATTACTTTATAAACGGTAAGAAAGTTATCATAAATAAAGCCTTTGGACTCAAATTTATGAGGTAAATGCAATATTCAATTACTGACATCAGAAAAGTATAAAGCCCCCAACATCTGAGACATGCAATTTACTTTGGGAAATTCAAATAAAATCTTTTTTTTTTGTCCTCTAAAAATTACTCTGATTTTGATAGATTTAAATTCTATTTGGGCTGGTTTTAGTGTTTCGCAAAGATGATCGTAAAGTTTTCGTGATCAAAAATAATTTTTTTGAAAGCTATTTTAGATGTTATAAATATATTTTTTTTTAACAGTATAACTATTTTCTTAAACTCTAGTAGTAAAAAAATAGCTTTCATCACATAAATTTTTAGAAAGTAACAAAAAAGAAATCTTCAAAAGGAACTGTAGTTATTTTTAAAAAGCAAAATAATGAGAAAGCTATCTCAAACAGCTATCCAAACTACAATGAACGGCTTATAGGAGCAAATCATTGAACTAGATAACACCATTCTTTATAAATCACAAATTTTCTGCAATGCTAATCAGCAGAGATGGCGCACGGAAGTACATACTCTTATTTATTAATCACGTTTCATTCACCATCTATATATCTTAAATGGCAAGGAGAATTTTTACGAGCCATTATTACAAAGCAGGATCATGACTAAAGAGCAAGATTGAACATAGATGGACAATAATAGGAGGACTAAGGCTTCATTTGGGATGGCTTTTGTACTGCTTCTTAAAGCAGCTTTTTAGAACAAAAGTAGAAATTTTTGTACTTGAAAGTTGCTTTAAGAAGCAATAAAAAAGCTGTCCCAAACGAAGCCTGAATAGCCGAATGAGTGAACATGCTGGCTGTAAGCGACCTCGAGGATGAACTTCACAGAACCAGAAGCAGACATTACTTACCTTCTTTGAATTTTTTTTTTTTTGGGGCAGCTCACTTCTGAAGGCCCGCAACTGGTTCAGCTAATCTGGGCCACCATGAAATCACCAGGTTTTACAAGCTCCAACTTCAATGTTGAAAACAGAACTTGGGAATACTTTACTCAGGTTCCTGCAAAATGAAGAGAAACTATACGTTATTATAGAAGTTGCCTTCTACTACAACTTCAAATTTTGCAGTTTGTTCAGTGTTTTCAGATGACAGAATTTCAGCAATAAAATTATTTGTTATTTTGAATGTGACCTATATTATCCAAGTTTTCCTGACGCATTAGATGAAATTTCCATATTGAACCATTTTTCTTAAAAAAAAAATAGAAGAAAAGGTAATGAGTTTTGTAAAGGAAAACTTAAGAAGCAACAAATACCACAATAACAGGACTAGAAGAATATCATAAATGGCAGCGAAAGACTAGTTTTACGAAAGAATAACATGACTAAAACTAAGATTTTGTTTGGAAGGCTTTCTTACTGCTTCTTAAAATAATTTTTGTACTTAAAAGCTGCTTTAAGAAGCAGAAAGAAAGCCGTCCCAAACGAAGCCTAAGAAAAAAATTATGAACTTAATGAAATAACTTGGGCATCAGAGATTTTGAGAAATTTAGCTAAAGATTAGTCTTCTTTTCATTCAAATTTCAATTACATGATAATTTGCATTCAGATAGCTTGAAAAACTTATAATAATTCATAGAAACATGAAAAACAATCCAAAAATCAAGAATAACATACTAATTTAAAACAGGAAGTCAAAAACTGTCATACAATGTTTAAACTAAAAAAAACATAAGGCAGCAAAAACATACTGCAAATGAGGAAGAGTCATATTCTTCAAAAGTGTTGGGTGGCGAATAACAAAATTTTTCCACTCATCTTGATCAATTCTGCCATCCCTGTTAACATCAGCATCTTCAAATGCCTGCACAGGAGGAACATTCAGTCAATAATATATGTTTCTGAGTGTGAAGAGCATGAAAAGTGATGTAAATCATTAAAATCAGGCCTTATCAATTATGACTTCAAGAAGTTCATCTGGAAGTGCCATCTCAGATTCAACCAAAATGGCAACCAACATCTGCTTAACCTGTAGGAAAGTAACCTGCCGATTAATTGGGATTTTGATAAAGAAAGATAATTTCTAATATTTTCTAAACAATTCTTTTTAGGTCTACCTCCACCTTTCTTAATATAAGTCAAATCTAATACATCTACTTTCCTAACCGGGTCATCGAAAGGCCGTCATTTTATGTGACCAAACCGTCTAAGGCGACTCTCTCTAATATAATCTTCCACTGGAGCTACTCCAACCTTTTCACGTATTATCTCATTTCGTATCCTATCTCTAAGGGTAAATCCACTCATCCACCTAAGTATCCTCATCTCTGCAACACTTAACTTAGTATTATACTCCTCTTTTAATGGACAACATCCTGCATCACAAAGCATTGCAGGTCTCACCACCATCTTATGACCATTTCATGAAATTTTGAATATAAAAAGAAAAAAAAAAAAGACTAAAGCTTTGGAATGATATAAGCGTTTCTAAGACTAAACCATACTAACAAACATCTGAAGATAGCATATCCACCTCTAATCATTATTACCTAAACCAAAATCAAAACCAAACGCAAGCAAATAAGTGTTCAGTCAGGATAAATTAATGAGAGCATATAGCTTAGCTTAATCAATTAACCGAGATGAAATCACCGAAGAAGAAACTAATTAAAAATACTTATGATACAGATCCTGCAGTTTGAGAAACCTACTTCTTCTCGCTCAATGAAGCCTGTTTCATTCAAGTCATATAATCTGAATGTAACTGCAAGAAACGGTAAGGATAGTAAAAGGCATCAGTGAATAGGATCAGTTTGTCATATTTACTAGCATAAAAAACAAGATAAAAGAAGCTCTATTGCTATCAGGTATTATTTCTTACAGTTTATTTTATCCTCTAGAGGAGCATAAGGATGGAAAACACTTAGTGCATGAACGAACTCCTCAAATTCAATAACACCATCTTTCTTCTCATCAAAAAGATAAAAAACCTAAAGAAAAGGATCAAAAGAAAAAGCGTAAATGAATCATACTATAAAGAGATTGGTCCTGGTGGTGATGTTCATGGGCGGATCCACCATGTACTCAAGGTGGGCAAATGCCTACCCTAAAAAAAAAAAAAAATAGAGGGGATATTTTGAAATATTTTAAGTATTTTGGGTATTTTGCTCCTCAAAAATATTTTTTTCTGTAATTTTATCAATCATAAGCATCTTTGCCCATTTCCCACAAATTTTTTTTTTTACCCACCCTGAAAAAAGAAGCTGAATCTGCCCCTAATGATTTTGATGATGATGGTGTGTATGTGCTTAATTTAAGGGGAGTTCAATAGGTAACTACAAAGTAGGTGAAGGGCAATAGTTAGAGTAGGGAAGAACAAAAAAATTATCATACTCGTAGTCTGCCACGGAGTGATGGCCTTGAGGCTTGTTGTCATTTGCTATGATAACAAACTTTCACGTCGCATATCAAAATTTATCATACTCGTAGTGTGGTTAAGTGCTGCACAATATGTAGTGATGATTGCAGTAGTATAAATAAGATATACGGTGATTATTAATGTAAATCGATTTATCCCTCAATATTTAGTACCCAGCCAAACCCACCCACAAGGCCATCGGCGTACCCATACCCACCCATACCTATACATGGTTGGGTGTGGGTATGGGTACCCAATGCAGGGCTCTGATAGTTAACAACAAAGGAGGTGAAGGGCAGTAGGCAGAGTAGGGAAAGAGTAGGGAAGAACAAAAAAATAATAATAATAAGATGGCATTTTAACAGTGATTTGTTTGATTTTGAAAATTCATAATGACATAGTACTTGTGAATAAATATATATAGAATAATATAATTGAGTTTTCACTTACTCTGTTGAGGAAAAGGTTCTCTCCATTTGGGGTCATAAATAAAGCCATTTGAAGTTCTTCCTGTAAGATCATTAAAAACAGTTCTTACAAATTCATAAGCACAATGAACAAGATGATTTATGTGGTTAGGGAAAGATGTCTACGTCCCCAAAAAAGGAATGGTTATTTTACTATATTGGATAACAATAAGAATTACAAATTGGCTCTCTTTTATTCCATGCATACATTTTAATAGCCATCAAGTCCTATTTAAAAATTTAAAACAAACACAATAAGAAAAGCATAATCAATAAGAAATTTAGGTTTTGTTTGGGACAGCTTTCTTTCTGTTTTCTAAAGTAGCTTTCTAGTACAAAATTTTTTTGAATTAGAAAATTTTGTACTAGAAAGCTGTTTTAGAAAGCAGCAAAGAAGCCGTCCCAAACGAAGCCTTAATCATGTCATAATTAGATCTCCTAATCATTAAGTAAATCAAATCTCCTAATTAATGTAATAATTAGATCCCTTAATTAATGCATGAATATATCAAATCGTCAATCAAATCAACTTAATTACGGAAATAATCAACTCCCTAATCAAATAAATAATGAGCCATTAAAGCTTACCAAAATAAAACTTATTTGTAATTGAAAATAATTCCAAATCAACAAAAAAACCTTATTAGTATATCCTACTCTTCCATCATTAACTTTGCCATGAATCAATTTTTACTTGTTACAAAAACTTCAAAGTACCCACCGATGCTTAGCTCGATTGGTGGGCATGCTTGGTTGGGAACCCCCCATCCCGAGTTCGATTCCCTCGAGTGGCACTCGGCCTTTAAGTGGGGGCTCCAAAGCGCCGGCTATGAGTTTGTGGCTTGGGTGGCCCATTAGGTCAGTCGGGGTTTACGGACTGCCATACACGCTCGATGAAGTCGGGTGAGGCAGCGGATGGCTCCTCGTCATAAAAAAAAAAACCCTTCAAAGTTACATTAATTCAATATCATATTACTTTAGTGTACATTGCGAGCACCTTTGTGGATGGTGACATAAATCGGCCACTCTATCACTGCACCACACCCACCGCAAAGAAAATCAAACATTTCAAGCTAGAAATAATACTTTTTTCTCCACAAATCTATTTAACAATATTATTTAAAAAAAAAAAGCTAATGCCAGATGTTCATATTAGGTGGTCTCATTTCATAAATCTAGTTTATTTGAATTTTTGGTAGCTACCCACCCCACCTCACATCTAATGAAATTTTTAATAAAATAAAGTGGTCGCCACATATCAATTTGAGTAGTGTCATTAGGCATTGTTTGGAACTGTTTTTTTACTGTTTTATAAAGCAGTTTTTAAGTATACAAATTTTAATTCAAAATTTTTTTTATTAAAAAATTACTTTACAAAATAGTAAAAAGACTGTCCCAAACGAAGCCTTAGGCTTTGACTTTTTTACTGCTTTATTTATAAAACAGTTTTTTTGTAAAAAATATCCTGAACTAGAAATTTTTGTATAATATTAAATTCTATCAATTTTAATATTAAATTAAATATTATTAGATTATATCAGTTTTAATAATATTTAAAAGTTTATAAATTAATAAAGTATATTAAATATTTATCAATTAAAGTATATTAAATAAGATCGTTTCTCTCATACTTAATTTTTTTTTGTATTTTATAAAATCCAAGGAAAAAAATGAGAGAATAATTTTGAAAAAATCAAATGTAAAAAAATAAAGTAAATTCTTATTGCGAAAAAGAATTAAAATATCTTTATTATCTCTATCATATGTTTCCCCATATTTAAAAAAAAAATTAAAATCATTAATTAATCTTATCATATATTTTAATGACTAACAAATAATGAAAATTCTTATATAAATATCATTTTGAAGACTAATCATTTATGTTAAAAATATTCCTTTTTTAAATGTTTATATTTAATGTTAAATTTAATCAGTCAATTTAATATTTTTAAAATAATTTAACTTAATATTTATAAAAATATAACAATCAAATTAAATTTTAGCTATACAGAAAAATATATGCTTCGCTAGGCCACGTATTCTTATGCTGGCCACATTGATTGAATTAAAAGTAATATTAAGAGAAAAATATATGCTTTGCAAAATTTCTGAAGCGCTGTAACCATTTGAGTTTTCTATGAAAACGCAAATTCTTATCGCTTTTTATCAGAAAACACAAAAAAAAAGAAGGATATTGACCTTGTGAATGCGTCCGTCTTCGTCGGAGCTGCTGAGATTCTTGAACAGCTCGTGAAGCGCCTCCACTTCGTTCACCGTGACTGCAAACAGAGAAGAAAGAGGCAACGAAAGAATTAAAAAGAAAGAAGACGTCGGGATCAAAATGAAGAAAAAGGGCGTGGCGTACAGCATTGAGATTCCTCGGCGAGCTTCGGAAAGTCATGGCAGGGTTCCGGTGGGCTGCCAAAGAGCAGCCACGGGTGGCATCCGAAGCAGTCGGTAACGAGGAAGATTAGGCCTTCAATGGTTCCGATCAGCGGATGTAAAGCAAAGCAGAGGAAGTCCCCAACAGTACTGAGCGAGCTGGAGCTCTGCATGCATTGCCCCCAGATAAGTATCGCAGGCTCAGATGAGTTTATAAAAGGGGACTGTGGAATGAAAATTTAAATTGAATAAGAGTAGTACCAAGGCACTGGAAGAAGAAGAACAGGAGGAAGATCTCATCGCCATTGTCGCCGGAAAATCATCGCCGTGCAGCCCTCGCAGTCGAGTAATTTTCCGTAATTTTTTGTTCCTAACGATCCAAATATATATATGCAATGAAGAGCACCAGACCACTTTTACAGTGACAATCAAAATGGTAGCCTCTAAGTTGCCGTGGCTGAGTGTCTTAATTAGTTCTCTTCCTAGAGTTTAAGTATCGGTACGTAACTGTTAATTTTTAATGAGGACAAAAGTAGGCTTCGATATATACTAGTAGAAATTGAAGAAATATGTTAGATTATTTATTTATTTTTTAAAAATAATCATGTTATTTGGGACGACTTGCTTACTGGCTTTTAATGCTATAAAAAGCCGTCTCAAATGAAGCCTTAGGCTTCATTTGAGAAGGCTTTTCTACTGCTTTTTTAAAAACTTTTTAATATAAATATTTTAGTTTTATACTAAAAAAATTTATTTAAGAAACAGTAAAAAAGTTTTCTCAAACGAAGCCTAAGTCACAATTAATCGAATAATCTTCAAATCTTGACCTAATATTAGTCGGACAATATTGCTTAATTTTAAAAAAAGATCAAATCATATCGAACCATCTTCGCATCTTCATTAAATATTCAAACCATCTTCAACCCACAACCAAGCAATCTTTGAAGTACGATTGAAGCAACTTCCAATCATCTTTAAACCTTCTTCAAACCATCAAAAGATTGAAATATTATTCAAAGATGTTTCGATCGTGGATTGAAGATTGTCGATCGTGGTTTAAAGATGGTTTTTGTAGAGTTGTCGAGGATGGGTTAATGATAATTCTAATATGGTTTGAAAATGCTTCATTCAAAAAATTAAAAGAACATTTGATCATGATCCAAGATTATTTAATCATTATCAAAGATGGTTCATTCATAATCAAATCATCATTAAACTATGACCAAAGCACCTCAGTATGAAGATTGGACCTTCTTTGAATCATTGTTGATCTGCAATTGAATAATGGTCGAGCCATCTTTGAACTAGTATCACACCATCTTTGTCCCATGACCAAACCTTCTTTAAACTATGTTAGATCCACAACTCGACCAATTTTTTACCAACCATCTACGAACCATGATCCATCAATCATTGAATCATGATTAAGCAATGTCCGCCCATCTTCAAACACATTTCATATACTTTCGATAATAATCATGTCAAATAAAATTTTTAAGGAGTTATTATAAGTTTAAATCACAAACTATCTTCATCATAACATAGATATTGTAGTAATTTAATTATACTGATTTTTTAGTAATTTTTCGGTACTGGTGAAAATCTTTAAGAAATTGACAAGTGTATGTACAAGTTGGGATTCTGGGATCGTTAGGTCTCCATTTTGCAAATTGATTTCACCAAAATCTTTTAAATAAAATAGGCTATTTTATGAATATTTTTTTTTATAATTTTTGAAGCTTCAAAAGGATTTATATAAATTTTATACTAAACAAAATTGATTAAATTATATAATTAAATTATTATTATATTATAAATATCTTATTCCATTAAAGCTAGATATAAAAATTTATTATTTTGATAATTTATAGAAGCTATAGTTGATTAATTAAGAATATAAAATAAAGAATTCTTTCAAATTTGATTATGGAGCATCTACATATTTCTTCTCTTCTTTGTGGATAAGAACCTAACTCATTATCTCCTCGCAGATTCCAAGTGAAGTGCTTGACACTTATTAGAACCATGATAATTGCAAGTATTTGTTGCCCAACTTTGAAATGAATTAACTAAGCTTGATAATCACCTTATGAACATCTAAAAATCGTTTGCATTTTGAGAATTTGTCATTTTAAGGATTTATTTTGCCTTTGTAAATTCGTCTTTATACCTTCTGAAGTTAATAAAAATAGGAAAAAAAATTATGAAGGTGGTTGGCTCATAGCTAGGCTTGAAGTAGCTTGATTGTGAGGATGCTGAGAACACAAAATTTATGAAGGAAATAGGTCATTGAATTCTCTTTTCAATGGCATCAAATACACTAGAAAATTCATTCATTTGAGGGTTCAATGGCCTTTTTAATGATGATAATGCAGTGTATAGTAGGAATCATTGGCTAATTTCCACTCAAACTTTACTGTTAAATCTACTTTGTGAAAGAATTCCTTATTTTTTTGGAGCATCTACATATTAGTGGGAGTCTCTAAAAAAAAATTTCAAGTCATTTTGACAATAACATAAGCTAAAATAAACTCACAAAGTTAACTACCAATAAAATAACAAATTCAAGAAAGTTGTTTTTCATGATGTTTTTATTTAAGCATGTTAAAATATTTTTATTTTAAAAAAAAAATCATGAAGGTAGTCTAAGAATTCTAATAAATAAATTAAAGGGATTTTTACATACATAACACTTAAAACTATCTTATTTACCTATCTAACACTAAAACTTTCATATTTGCTGTTCAGCCACCCAAAACATTAATAGGTAACCTAAAATACCACTCCCGTTACCTCCGTCTACCCGAGCTTGTCATTTGTGCGGGAATCGTACCGATCGTCGTCGATTTTTCCACGCCGGTCACTCCGCCCAGCCGTCTCCAAGCCTCGTCGATTCCTCCACGCCGGGTACTCAACTCAACCTTCAATTTCTGCACGCCGACGACTCTACGCACCATTTCCGCTCAGTTTTTCTCCACGCCAGTTGTTCCAGTTCGATTGCTGCACGCCGTCTCCAAGTTTTGATGTATCAGATTTTCTTGTTACTGTTTAGGTTGAAGTTTGATGTAATAGATTTTCTTGTTATAGATTTTGATGTAATGAACTTTAGATTTTGTACTAAAACTATTCTAACAACTGGACTTTTCTTGCTGCATGAATTTTGATTCCGAGAGTAGCAGATTGAGTAAACACAGATTTTTCTTGCTGGACTTTTCTTGCTGCATGAATTTTGATTCCGAGATTTTCTTAGGCTTAATTTGCTTAGGCATACCGACCGGAGGAAAGCCAATGCCTGCGAAAACTTTCGAGTGGCAATCGAGCTGCGACCGAGCGGAGATCGAGCGGCGAACGAGCGGCCCTGTAGGTTTCCTCGCGCGACTGAAGGCAAGCGGAAATTTTTTGACGAAGACCTAAGAGAGTGTTAGAATAGAAATAAGTATAAGAAATAGGTGGTATATAAGTAAATATATCATTTTAGGTATTTGATATGTATTTTCAGTACTTTCAAGTGTTATGTATGTAAAAATCCCAAATTTAAAATGTATGCGCTACGCATTTCTTCAGCAGTATTAAAAGCTGTAGCTAATAAGACCGAAAAATTGGCGCGCTAATTTTTATAAGAAATACATTATTAATTATTCTTTCCCTAATCCCTAACTCGATCGCCACTTTTGGTCTCCAGATTTACAGGTCCGCCGGCGGCGGCATCGTCTTCCCCGTTCAGTTCGTCGGCGTCAGATCACTTGCCGATTGTCTTCCCAGCTCAAGTGAGATTCTTAAAGCCTTTTCTTCTCTGCTACGAGTTCTGCCAAACCCTTTCTTTATGGTAGCCTGCCACAGTGCCACGCTCTCATCACACACCGATGCTTGCCGTTGATCCTCATCACCGGTGAATCCATTACCCCCGTCCCCTCACTTTCTCTTCTTCTCATTCGTTGCATAACCCTCTTCCCATCTTCCTCTGTTCTTCTCTTCCGGTGCTAAAATTCAGCCAAAACATCCAATAGCGAATTAATCAAACATCGTCACTCCTCATCAACTCTTATGTTTAGATAAATAATGAAATATCCAGAAATGATGTTTGAAAAAGATCTAAATGATGTTTAGGGTATAAAATCAAACGACATATTCCGATTACTTTAACTGGAGTTCTGATTTGATTTTTCATAAAAACAGTTTTTGCATTTGATTTTATGGTTTGGGTCATAAGGAGTGCCTACATCACATTTAAAACAGGAGTGATACACCCTAAATCAATCCACTAAATATTATAAAGAACTACCAAATTTGATTTAAAACATAGTTAAGTACTAGACTTGCATCATTTTTTTTTCATTAAAGTCTTATGTTTTTGACAATCTTTTTGTTAGTATCTATGCTTGCAGCAAAAATAACACCCATCATCCTTTTTTATCTTCTTTTGGATTTGGACATCTGACACGTTAGCTTTTAGATGTTATTTATTGTCATTTCTATCATTCTTTCTTGAATTCTTTTTAAGTATAGCTTGACCTATGAGATTGAGTGGATTTCTTGTTTGATATCAAATACTTCTTCTTGAATAAGCATACTTTATGATTTTATCACATTTAATTTATTTTTATAGCATTGTAGTTTATTTTGAATGAACCATGCACGGTAATTGAGCAGTGTACGATAAACTACATAAGAAATTTACACTCACTTTTGTTTAGAAGAAACTTAATTTTTCTGCAGCATTTATCATCTCAGTGAACCATCAAATTTAATGGCGGTTAATGTACTTATTTTTGCTGCAAGTGACTTGTTAGCAGACTCAGATTGAAACAAAATTTTCACCAATTTCATGAACTCCTTGGCATTATCGGTTTTTGGATCTGTTGGCTTAATGAAGGTTGCTATAATCATTCTTAATCTATTTGGTCTTTCACAAGCATAATAAAAAAAAATTTGTTCAATGCTGTAGTAGTAAGAGCAGTGGGATTATAGGCAAGTCTTGACAATCAAGG